TCCCCCACAGTAATTGCTGCTACCTAAAACAATTACTAAATTCTAGGTTTTTTCGTCCTCTTCAACATCCAGTACACAAAGATTAGAAACTGCTCGTCTAAATTTAGTACCAGTAGCTGTAACGACATCTACTACTCGTATGGCACCATCTTTTGCAGGATAAACGTTGACAACTCTTCCTTTAGGCCATACATTCCTTGGACTATTGGCATCATAAAATAAAACGATATCTCCAATTCTGATGTTCACATTGTTTTTGTGCCACTTGGATCTTCTCACTAAAGATGGAAGATATTCTTTAGCCCATCTTTGCCAAAACATGTCTGTAATCCTTTGTGCAGCCCTCCATTTCTTCAACAAGTTCAAGTCCTTGTCATCTGTTTCAGAACAAGGTAGAGCTGAATACGACGTCCCAATCAGGAAATGGTTTGGAGTCAACGCTTCTGGATTATTAGGGTCAGTGGGTACATGGGTAAGGGGTCGTGAATTCAAAATATTTTCAATTTCCGCGAATATTGTTCTAAGGGCGTATTCCTGTGGATATTTCGTCTTGAGAACTGCATATAAATTTCTTTTCACAATTTTGATCAAGCTTTTCCATGCTCCACCCATAAATGGAGCCAAAGGTGGATTGAAGAACCACTTGATATTATTGATTGAACAAAACTGCTTGATTTGGTTGTGATCAAGTTTTTCCAAATTTTCTCGTAGTTCTCGCTCTGCTCCTTTGAAATTTCCTCCATTGTCACTATACATTTCTTCAGGAAAACCTCTCCTACATCCAAACTGTCTCAAAACATGAATAAATGCGTTTGTGGTCAAGTCCTGGGCAATCTCTAAATGTATGGCTCGTGTTGCCATGCAGGTAAATATCACACCATATCTCTTCTCGTGACTCCTTTTAACTGTAACCTCGATTGGACCGAAATAGTCGACTCCGGTTTTTATGAATGGTCTAACCGATGGTTCCAATCGACAAAGAGGCAGTTGTCCCATGATGGGAGGCTTCGGAAATGATTTCCTAATTTTACATTTTCGGCAATTTGCCCAACAACTTCGCACAGCTTGTCTCATTCGTAATATCCAGAACTTTTCCCTGAGATTATTGAATACAATCTCTTGTCCATGATGATTCAATTTCTCGTGGTAATACTGTATGATCAGTTTTGTGATTTTGTGCTTTGGGTCCAAGACAATAGGTTTTTTTACATATTCATCTAGTTGTATAGAGTTGTTTAGTCTGCCACCTAATCTGATGAGATCTTCATCAAGAAAACAATTCAAAGTATACAGTTTACTAGTCTCATCAACTGTGTTTCCACTTTTGAGGCTGTATATTTCTTTTTCGAAAGATTCATGTTGACATCTTTTCAATATTTGATTTTCTGCTTTCTCAATTTCTGATACGGTCAATTCGTCTTTATTCTTTTTCTTCGTTCTGCAGTTTTCAATGAATCGGTATATCCATGCAGTAGACCTCACTAATCTCATCCATTTCGAAAATCTTTCAGGGTTTGCTGTCACTATTTCCTTCAAATTTTCTCTATGAATATGAATTAATACTGTTTCTTTTCTCAATTCTACATCATCTGTGTCTTCTTCATTTGTTATATTTTCTTCAATTGGCCAAAACTTAGGAGACTTCGATAAAAACTCTGGTCCATTCAGCCATCTGCTGGTAATGGAAAAATCTATCTTCGGGTATTGTTTCGTGGCTTCATCCGCTACATTTTCCTTCGAACCAACATATCTCCAATCAGAAATATTTGTCAATTCTTGAATCTCGCCAAGACGTTGTGAAACAAACATTTTGAAACGTCGAGCTTCTGAACGAATCCAGTGTAGAACAGTTTTAGAGTCGCTCCAGTAAAATGTGTCAGCAATTTTCAAATCTAAACTATTCTTCAAGCTTGATCCAAGTCATGCTCCTATCAAAGCTGCCTGTAGCTCAAGTCTTGGTATCGACAGTGGTTTCAAAGGAGAAACTCGTGTTCGTGCGCTCAAAAAACAAACTTCTACTCCATTTTGTCCATTCCAACTCAAGTATGCAACACTAGCATATGCATTTTCAGAAGAATCACAGAAGATGTGCAGCTGAATTTCACAATCAAATCGGTCCATTGTACAATACTGTCTAGGTAGTTTGAAATCACAAATAGTCTTCAGATCTTCTATGAATTTCTCCCACCTGATATTCAAACTATCTGGTAACTCGTCGTCCCATCCTATTTGACTCCTCCAGGTTTTTTGAAGGATAATTTTACCTTGTACTAAAAGATTTGAGAGAAATCCAAGAGGATCGAAGACTGACATGACTACCTTCAACACCTCTCGTTTTGTCGGTCTCCTCTTGTTTTCTAATAGGTTTTTGTCTATTTTATGGAATTTTGTTCTGAAGCAGGAAATATCTTTTTTTGGATCCCACCAAACGCCTAAAATTCTTTCCTCTGTCGAATTCATTTCTCTGTGAAGATTTTTTTGACAGTCTGCCAATAATGAGTCATCTAAGTCTTCAAGTAACTTAGGGTCATTCGTAATCCAATTACAAATCGTGAATCCTCCATTACTGTGTATATGAATGATGTCGTTAATCAGTTTTTTTGCTTCCTGTATACTATCTGCTCCTCCTAAGTAATCATCCATATAGTGATCTTCGATAATAGCCTCAACAGCTTCGGGATATTCATCTTGATGATCTCTGGCATTCTTATTTTTTGCCTCTTGGGCTAAACATGGACCACTGGATGATCCAAAAAAAACGACATTGATTTCGTAGATTCCTGGCTGACAATTCCTTTCCATTCCTCTATATAGTATTCTTTGGGCCATTCTGTCTTCTTTCCTGACATTAACTTGCAAAAACATTTCTTTTATGTCTGCTGTGAAAGCATATTCTTTAATTCTGAAGTTCAAAAGTATGGATTGCAGTGAATTATACAAATCAGGTCCAGTCAGCAAAAAATCATTCAGAGAAGCACCGTTAGATTTTGATGATGCATCAAATACTATACGTAGTTTATTTGGTTTGTTTGGATTCAATACTCCAAAGTGCGGCAAGTACCAAGTTCTTCCATTGTCAATTTTTTCTTCATTTTCTACAATTTTCGAAATGTAATTCTTTTTCAGCATTTCTTCCATTTTTTCACAATACATCTGTCCAAATCCCTTGTTTTTGTCCATTCTCCTTTCTGGGCAGAAAAGTCTTTTCAGAGCATTCTTCCTACTCTCAGGTAAAACAACGTTGTCTTTTTTCCAAAGAAGTCCTGTTTCAAACTTATTTCCAATTCTTTGCATAGTGGAATCCATAATCAGCTGAGCTCGGACGTCCTCCCTTGACATAGGTGGCTTTGGCGTACTATAAATGTTTCCAATTTCCATTGTTCCTTTACCATGTCGTGTAGAATATCTAATTCATCTTTTTCTTGAGAATTTACATAGCAGACAAATTTTCCAGTCGAATCTCCATGATTTTCACTATTAGAATTTCCGTGGATAACCCAGCCTAATAAAGTCTTACTTAGCGCAGGTCCATTCCAGGGTCCAGTAATAGTTTTTCTACCTATCAACAATGGCCAATTGTCTTGCCCAATCAAAATTTTTGGTTGCACATCAATCATGGACTCAATTCTATTGTCAATATATGTATAATTTGATGAAATTTGATCAATATCAACAGTTTGCTTTGGGAGTGAGAGATTCTTTATAGTTCTCACATGTCGTAGATAAAAAGAACTCGTGTCTTCCGACTGAGAAGAAATTTTGAAGGTCACTATTTTTTAATCATCCTGTTCATTTGTTTGATTGTTTGTCCACTGTATACATAAAGATTTCTGAGGACCCTGTAGATTCAATTGATTGGCTAAATCCTCATCAATTAATGTAACAGTGGATGCGTCATCCAAAAGAGCATACGTTTTTATTTGTTGTCCACCATTTGAGATGCGAACCGGCAAAATTTTCAATAAAACTTGTCTACTTGAAAGTATATGACAATTTGTCTCAATATCTCTTGTTTCAGAAGTAGAATTTGCTGTTCTGGTTTCTTTTTCAAAATGTTTATTATGCAAAAGTTCATGATGCACCTTTTTGCATCCGTCGATATTACACACTTTTTTACGTCTACAGTCTTTCAAACCGTGATAAGGAACCAAACAAGAAAAACAAATTCTATTTGTTGTCACAAATGACCACCTTTCGTCTACAGTGAATGATTTGAAAGTTGAGCAAGTATTCAAATTATGACAGTCATTATTACAGCAGACACACTTCTTGTTTACAAACTTCGTGGCTAAGGTTATGTCTTTAGTTCTATATTTGTCTTTGGTAACCTTATTCTCAGAAATCTGTGGAACCAGAAGGTGACAAGCAGCATCGGCTCTTGAAGCCAACCATGAACAAAATTCAATCAGTTTGTTTTTCACTGTCCTCTCAGTAATATATTCTACCCATCTCAATTTATATGAAGTTGGTAACTTAGTCAAAAGTTCTTGTAACAACAGGGGATTACATAAGTGTTCATGTTCCTCCAGAGATTGAATTGTGAATACAAAATTTTTCACCTCGTCTGAAAAGTCGATTAACATTTCTAATTTGTCATCCTTGATGGGTGGAAATTTCCGTAATCGATCGAGGAGCAACATAATTATGTGTTCAGGGCGTCCGAATCTATTTTCCAATAGTTCGATTACTTTATCTACATTTTGAGGAATTATCAGTATGGCTTGTGTGATCTTCTTTGCATTGCCTCGTAAACATTTCTGTAATCTACTCTGATTCTCTTCTTTTGAGTACCCACATAAGTTTGACGAATTTTTGAATTGATGAATGAAGTTGGGCCACTCGGTAGGATCACCGCTGAAAATTGGAAGATCTTTCGGAACACTCTGTCTTGTCAAGATTTTCCGTATGTCATGATTGTCAATTTGACTTTGAATGTTTTGCGTTTTGGAGGTAGGATATATTGCTGCTAGCGATAGTGAATGAAAAGAAGCATCACCTACCTTGGAACAACATGGCTTGAGTTTTGTGTCCTTACTCTCATTCCAAATTGTTTGTTCATTTCCCCAATGCTGTACATCTGGACCCTCGCTTACCAATGACCGTGACCCTTGTGATCGAGACTCATTTCCCTCTGAATCAGTAGACCCACATTCCAACTGTGACAATTTGACGGCTAATTGTAAGTCCAGAATCTCTTGCTGCTTCTTCATTAACTCTTGCTCTAGTTCTTTCTTCATAATTTCGGTTTGTAACTTCAATTCTTCCTGTCTGTTTGCTGAGCGATTGCTACGTTTCGATTTCATAGATTTTTTTTGACCGTTGGAACCTCCTTGTGAACATTTCTTCTCGCTGACCGCAATAGAGAACCTCGTTGTGGACTTCTTGTCGTCGATAACACTTGTCCCGTTCAATATTGTAGAAGATATGTTGTCATGTTCCTCTTCATCTCCATTGATCTTTGGAACGTTAGCTCGTTTTTCAACTAGTCTTTGACTTCTTCGAATGCCTGACATTTTTCATTAGACTGACTCAGTGACAACTCGAAGGACCATATGTTCAATATCTACCTGTAATTATTAGCTATAAATCCGGGATCGAAGAACCATATGTTCAATATCTACCTGTAATTATTAGCTATAAATCCGGGATCGAAGAACGAAAAATGATAAATCGTGTCAAAGTCAAAAGTTTTTTTTTTTTTTCTTGTCAACAACGACAACTGAACTTCATCCTCACACCTACATGATACAATATCAAAATATATAGGGCATTACAAAACAATTAGTAAAACAAATATCTAACATGGTGGGCATATAATGACTTCGACTTTTCTAGAGAAAAAACAGTCTTGAGTTTTGGTGGTGACGGTGGCGTTGATTTCAACCAGATTGTTCGTTTCCAGGCTGTTATTTCATCAAGACAGCGTTGATCTGCGTTAGTCGTGAGTTCCTATAGTTTCCTGGGATAGAATGGAAATTCTGGAGGAGAACGCAGTATGCAACGTACAGACGTCTTCAGAGATCATGTCGCATGTGCAACATGTTTCCTGAAGACGAATGTACGGTCATCTGCAAAGCTGATGATTTATATAGACTATAGAGTAGGAATAATATTGGTGCTAAAATGAATTTTTGTTGTAAGCTCGATTTGATGGCTATGACTATATGACTGACTATACATATATGGCTCGATAGAAGGAGGCATCATACTTTGGAACATATAGATTCACGGCTTGACTTGGTATTCAAGCTGCTTGACTTGACCATACTTGAAATCAAGTCAAGTTCAAGTCAAGTAGTAGTTTTTAATTGTAAAGTCATCAAGTATTTATTTGTCACATACTTTTTGAGAATTCGAGTACTTCTATCCAGCTACTCGATTTTCAGCAGTTGTATTGTGTCAATTAATGATGAAATGAGATCGAACCTTGCGAAAAACACTGTATAAAAGACCCAAAAATATAAACTATTCAGTCAGAAGAAGATTTAATCGCGGCACGTTCGCAAAGGCGACATCATCCCATTCCATATGCTTCTTGTTTCAACTCGTTATCACATGACAAAATTATGCCCGGAATAATAGCAGCAAATAAATCGCTGTGCCTTATTGGATTTGACTCAGACTGAGGGGTGGCACAGGTGGGTTATAGAAACCAACCATTCAATTGGTATAGGATAGCATAATTATTATCTGGTTATCAAATCGCGAATTCGAGTGCAAATTTCCGCACAGGAAAGTGCAGTTTTCCAATCATTTTGCTCGGGATAGTGAATGGCACAGGTGCCGTTCGATGAACTACAATGTTTCACATGCCTTTGGAACATCATCTTTTCTCGTTATCAGATGACGGTCTTAATTTGGAGCCGGCTGTTGGACAATGTCCTCCTGAAACAAAATAAAATAGTTGACTTATTTTGTCTGACGAATGCATATTGAGTTATATAATAAATTATTGGTAGAAGACACTCACCAGATCGTTAAAAAATCGAAAGAATTCACACTACTTGACATAATTGCTGACGTCTTCACAACACAAAATGCGAAATGTGAATGAGGACTTGAGGAAGTGCCAGGAGCAATCGCCCTAAAGATAGCAGGTTTGCCCTGATTGGATGGAAATGACATGATATCCCAAACGTTTTTTCGAATGGAACAAAACTACTTGTAATATACACAAATTGTTGTTTCAGCATGATCACTCCGTTCAAAGTTCTTTCAATTTTATAGAAACATTCATTCATTTATGAAATATAATTTTTTCGGCAATTCTGATGGAATATTTCATTCTTTTGAAAAATGAATCTGTTATTAGTATAAAAAACACGAAATATTTGGCTCAGAATAAACAATGATATTAACAGTATTTTCTGTATTTTGTGAATAATATACATATGATTTCTAAACGAAAACACACACTAACAGAAATTAATTCTAACATTAACAAAAATTATGTACGATTCATTATTTTTTGTGATAATTTTTATGTTCATGATTAAGAAATTCTGTTACATTTAAATAACCCTTTCTGTTAATAATATCAAATCTTTTTTTTGACTTGTTTCATATCCAATCACGGGGTTCAAACTTGGGAGATGGAAATTTGTTATTTTTATAGACCTCTTATTCCACATTCATGATTGTGTTTTTCTCAATTCAGAATTTCCTTCCACGACCTGGATGATGAATATCAATTCGTCACAAATCAAAACAAAAATTAGATCTTATATTTTCCATAATGTAAACAATTAAATGGAATCATTCCCACTTCAATTCAAGTGTGAAAATTGAGTTCGAGCCACACCTACAAGCAAATATTTCAATTCTGAAATTCATTTGGCGTGAATATATATAATTTTAGGAGTTAGTAGTTGCTTCTGTTCTGTGTTTTGTTTGAAGCAGTACTGTTTATTTTGATTCCAGATAAATGAAAATGCTCATCCAGTTTTGGCTCAAACATGCAATAATTACAAAACATTATGTAATTTTCGAAAAATATTTGTGTCTGTATCCTAATATTCTTGGAGGAATAAGATTCTCAAAATGTCCCCCTCCAGTTTCGATACATTTTCTTCATATTTTCGGAAGATCTCTTGATTTTTTCGTTTCTCGAATAATTTGCTTATTATTTCTGATCATATGAAGCTGTAACAATCCTCTCACTCAGTTTCTCTCTCATGTTGACTTCAGTCTGATAGACCAATCGTTTCACATGTCTCCATAGATAATAGTCTAATAATGTGAGGAGATTATAGGGGACCTATAGGAGCCATAAGAATGAGGGCCGCCACGACCATTCCAGCGATTAAAGAAGTGATTGTCTAGGTATTCTCTCACTCGTATTGAATAATGTGGAGTGTAGTATTTTCTGAATAATGAAAACACCAAACCCATAATTTGATTCGCTGATTGAGAGAGTTCACATGCAATGAGATCATATTTGATAGGCAAAATATACTTTTTTCTGTGACGGGAAAAAAGTTTGGCTTTTCATCTCTGTTGGCAGGTTATAAAATGTCACTTTTCATAAATTACTTTTTTCCCGTGGGCAAAAAGTGAGAACTTTTTTCCCGGATATATATCACATATATATACACTGTTGATGGCTTTTGTTGTGCTATAGTTCCGAAAAATGAGTCAATAATACCGTCTCCGAGAAAGAACTGCAAGTCCTTATCTTCGATTCGACTTCGCGGTTACGTATATTACTAAACAACCACTAAATTTGCAATTTTTTGAAATCAAATCACAGAATTAGACTGACAGGAGTGACATCAGATATTTGATTACTTCAAAATAATGATAAAGATGCCTACAACGTAGGTGTCCCTACTGAGTTAAATACTTAAAATTTCACGTCTATAAATTTTCAGATTTCAAAATAATGTAACATTTTCTCAATATTGATTCGTCCTTTCTTCTGTCACAGAAAAAAATGGTGTATTATACACGGGAAAAATATTAGATTTTAGCTCACGGTTTGTTGTCTCCCTCCGCTACGCGTCGGAAGACAACACAACCTGGAGCTAAAATCTTCTACTTTTTTCCCTTGTATAATAAATAACTATTTTCACAGATATATCAAGTCACCTTGACTTTTTCTATCCGTCATTAGGCTATGGCTGGTAAGTCATGACTCACCCTGTATATTATCATGCATCAACAAAATATTCAGCACATACTGTCAACGGGGGTGAAACGGATATAATTTATAGTTTATAGTTATACCTCTGGAGGGGTAGGAACACTCCAATTATTATGATTACTAGGTATATGAGGTTATGAGGTACCAAACACATGCATTTCATAATGAAATTCGAAACACTAGATAGGTAGATTGATACTTACTCAATATTATCATAATTGATGGATCCATCTTCTCTATTATCAATTGAGAATACTCCTGGCAGCATGAATAACGACCAGGATAGGTGAGGAGCACAATAATTAGACAACAAACCAGAGAAAAACGTAACATACGCTACGACTAGAGTCACATATAATAATGATCCAAATAATAAGCTGATTATTGTTGATGTGGACGTACAATATCTATCAGGGGGACGAGTAGTGAACACGATATTGGCCAGCAAAGGGCCACAGCTCGTTAGTGTTCAACTGGTTCCAGACCCCTCACTATTACAAGGCCATCATCATATATTTGACTGATGGTTACTTAGCATAAGGAAACCATCGGCCCATCACGGATACCCCGGCGTCGTCACTTTCTCAGACTCGCCTGTACTGAGCCAGACTTCTCCCGGTAGTTCAACGTTTGCTGGGTACGTTTGATTAAAATTTAATATCTCTAAATCATGATGATTTCAGATCCAAGAGTATAGCATATGTGAAGTATACATGCGTTTCCGCAAGTAAAATTGAAATTGCAAGTCAGGCAAGTAGGTACCGTTCGGAACTACAATAACTGCTATATCATATTCGTGTAGATTATCTGTTTGTGTGCCACGCTCTGAGCTGTGGGGTGTTGAGTTCATGATATGTTATTCTTTTGGAGAAGATAATGAAATACATTTATCTCTCCCAGAAAAGTTCATAACTGTTGACATTCATACAGGATTCTATTCGAAAAAGAAGAATGTGGCATTCAATGTGAATGAAAGTTAATTCAAATTTCACTTTTTCAGCCTCATCACTATATAGAAAATGAAAAAGTACCAGTGCATCTGATGGACCTCTTCTCTCGGCGCATGATCTCCTGAATTTTTATTTGGTATACTACCAAATTTTACTAGCTGTTATCGAAGTTTTTCTCCCGTGTGGTATCTATAGTGTCTCGATATTTGTCGTCAGCCTAACCTTCCTGTGATTTCTGGATTCATCATAGGTAGGTATACAAGGAATATTTTGAATGCATGAGTTTTTGTATTTTCACCAAGGTTATAATTTTTCAGAGAACAATAATATATATGTAATTTTTTTTAGTACCTAGCTAATGACATCTAAATGGGTCACTATAATGACAAG